GCCCCAGTTGACGCCCGTTTCGGTGAATATGTCCCGCAGGAAGACCGAGAGGGATGCGCTGATGCGGAACGTGCCCAGGCCACCCAAGGGCAACTGACAGGAAAGGGAGCAACAGAATGAGGGGCAGCCTGCTGTGTGTGCAGTGTGTGCATTGCTGTCCTGTGTGTGCTGCTCACCTCTCCGTAGGGCTCTTCGGCAGTGAGGGCCTGCTTCAAACCGATCTCCTTGATGCGCGTGAGAATCAGAACGACAACTGTCCCCCAAATCGTGAAGGTGTTCTCGGCCGCCACCCACAACTTCCCCCACACCGACTTGCTCGCGCCAAGTGATATCAGCGATGCGTCTTTGGGCAGTTCTTTCTCCAGCCCCTCGCTCAGCATGCGCACCAGCTGGGCCTGGTCATACAGCACCGGGAGGCCTTCCGCATGGAGGCCCTCCCCGGCCTGCACGCCCTCGTCCATGGTGTAGATGGTGGTCACTTCGTACTCTTTGCTGTCTGGTGGCTGGTGTGGCGGCCGGCCGTAGGCTGCCTGTGTCACTGGCCCAGGAGCGCTGATCTCCGTCGACATGAAGCGCAACACGATGGCGTCCCTCCTCTCAGTTGGCGCCTCGATATCGCCCTTCCCCTCGTCGTTCTTTGCATCGTTGTTGTTCTTCTCGCCGTTGGCCGTCTCTTCTGTCCTCAGGTCAGAGAAGCCCTCGCCTCCGTTGCCGGTGGTCGTGTGGCTGGGCCTCTGGTTGGCGGCATCTCTGCTGGAGTCCCTGACGACCATTCTGGGCCTGGAGTCGCCCTTGGGGAGGCGGCTGCGGGGGCCGCGGGGTGTCACTGCTTGTGTGGGGGCCTCGGTGGCTGTGGTGCTGGCCAGCTCGTAGGGAAACAGCAGTACCTTGTAATAGATCAGAAGCATCGTTATGGCGAAACCTACAAAGGGAAAAGAGTGATCACAGGTCTTAAGAGAGGGAATTCGTGAATGCATCGATCCTTCCTACCGACGAGTCCTCCGATGAGGGAGGCGAATTCGAACAGCGGGCTTGGGCCCCACGTCAGGGCGTAGCTGGGCACGCCGCATGCGAGAGAAGACAGCAGGATGAAGCCGACGTTCCTCCTGCAAACGTTGAACGGCACCTGCACACACACACAGCTCACCTTGCAAGCTTCCCATGCGCCCGCCTGTTTTCCCTTCCTGTCGGTCTGTCTTACCAGCACCCACACAGCGAGGAAAGGCACGACGAGGGTACACGCCAGGATGAGTGTCTGCGCCTTTTGCGCGATGATTGGGAAGTACAGCTCGCCGGTCTGTGCGAAGCCCTCCACAGTCGAGAAGCCGAACCACACAGGCGTACCCACCGCTCCAAAGATATCTGCACCGATGGCGTCCACACAGGCCAGGCGGATCGTCACATCACATGAGTCCTCTCAGATGCAGGTCAGGTGTTTGCGTGTCCTCTCTCTGACTTGGTATTCCGTCCATGATGAGGCAGCAGACGATCGACTTGACGGGATCGTGGCCAAGCTCCGCCAAAATGGGCGCGGCGAGGGCAACGGGAGTACCAAAACTAAGATGGGCAAAGAGAAGAGCGAATAAACACGATAGCACCAGAGTCTCATGCCTACCCCGATGCGCCCTCGACGATGTATCCGAACGCCCACGCAATGAGCATCACCTCGGCAACGGGATGCTGGTTCGACAGACTCTTGAGCATCGCAACCATCCAGCTCCTGCACACACACCAAGCAGACAAAGGCCTTCCCGTGTGCCGCCTCGGGCGGTTCCCGCTCCTCTGGGCGTACATGCATTTGGTTTCGCTCATCGTCCTGAAGAGCATGATTGCCCCAAAGATGATGCTGACGGGGGTGAGCGTGTCGAGAAAGCCATACACGATGGCGGCGTGCAGGATATTGGGGTTGTCGTAGTCGATGCCCCGCATGAAGATGAGCCGTATGGCGTACAGCAGGAGGGCGCTGAGGGGCAGCGAGGTCTGCGAGGCCATGCCTTTCGGCTTCAGTGTCACCACCAGGAGGAAGAGAATGGGCAGCAGGTAGAAGACCGTCTGCAGACGAGCACGAGAAGCACCGCACAGACAGATCTTGTAGGTTGCGGAGGTGGTGAGCACCTTGAGAGCTGAGAATTACCTGTGCTGCCGAGGAATTTTCCATCCAGCCGAAAGCCACATCTTCACTCTCCGCCATATCTGCTGCTGTGGCAGTTCGCCGCTGTCCTCCGCTCTGCGGCACGTGGAGATTGGCAAATCTGAGCTGCAGCTCGAGAGCTTCGTCGTTTGAGGCTTTGAGGCTTCGCAGGAGAGGGCGAAGCGGAGTGCCGCATCTGTCGATATCGATCGATTCGGAGCACATCCACTCATCCCATCTCCTTGCTGCTTCCCTCTCTCGCCATAGGAGCACCGCATCCGCCATGAAGGCGTCGGCGTCCAGCAGCACGGACACAGCAGACGGCATCCACAAACAAGCAGACCAAACACCAGCCGAGGAGATGAGCGGCCGGCCGATGCTGCTCAATGTCGGCGGCTTCGTCATGGCTTTCCCTCGGGATGTGCTGCTGTGCGAGGGGCTGCGGGACACCTGCCTGGCGGTGCTGCTGAACCGCTTCGACAGCTGGATGATCACAGACGACAATCGCATTCACTTCGTTGACGCAGACCCCTTCTACTTCATCTGGTGGAGGGGGAGGGAGGGAAGCAACACGATGGCTGACAGGCAGCAGCACTCGCTGTGTGTGTGTTCAGGTTGGCTGAGAAGCTGCGCTGCCTGAGCTGCAACCGCATCGACGTGAGTGAGATCATCGAGGGCTGCCCCGCACTGGCCTTCTACCACGACCGCTTCTTCGCCAAGACGGCCGTCACCATCGAGCCGCAACACGGTGACCACGACAGCGAGGCGTTCCGCGGCTTCATGGCCGTCATGGGGCCGTTCATCAGCTCATCGGTGGCGGGCAGGACGGGCGGCAGTGAGGTGCTGAGTGTGCGTGTGGCGGATGGCGGTGTGGTGGCCACGACCGAGGCGACGCTGGCCGACTACAGCATACTGCACGACCGATTCATCAAGTAGGTCTACAGGCGGAGATGAGATATTATGGTGGTCATCTCGGGCACTCTGTGTGTGTGTGTGTAGGTATGGGCCCGTCGCGGATGTGTCGGCAGACACCTTCCACAAGTAACCCACCACAGCAGCAGCCAGGCGGCACACAAAATCTCCATGTGTGTGTGGTGTGTGCAGGGTGGTGGATTACGTCCGTCGCATTCGGTTGGCCCCCGACGCCGTCACGCCGCTGCCGACGAGCAGTTGGCCTGACGAGCTGCTGTATGCCTGTGACATGTACGGCCTCATGGAGCGGGTGTACCTCTCGACGATCGGCAAATCGCACAGCCACATCAAATGCCTCTTCAAGTGAGTCACAACACACAACAGAGGGGGACAAGAGGGAGATGCCATGTGTTGATTTGGATGCCTTTGTGTGTCAGGAGTTCGTCTGACGGTGGAGAGTTTGGTAGTCTGGGAGAGCGAGTGGCGGGTGTGAGCGGCCTGCTGTTCGTCATCGAGGACGAGAAGCAGCACACCATCGCCTGCCACATCGACGGGCCCCTCATCCCCCCGGCTGACCCCACATCGACGCTGACCATCGGCTGCCCCGTGACGCTCTACTCCATCAATGGGCCATTCGAGGAGGGCGGCATCGCCAAGATTTCCGTGCCACACAACAAGCAGTGTGTGGAGGTCGCCGGCGCAGAGGGGACGGTGAAGAGCGACCAGGGCGGGGCTGGCAAGGTGTGCATCGCTGCCGGCCGGCTGTGGCTGGGTTATGGGGAGGATGGGCGGCCGGCTGGCGACCTCCGCCGCTGCCATCAGTGGGTAGAGAGGGATGAGCTGCCCGACGACAAGACGTACGTGGGCAAGATGATCGAGGAGGGAGTGGCCACCCTGGCCGCCAGCGACTACTACTTCACAGCCCAGCGGCTGGAGGTCTACCAGGTCAGGCCGACACATCAAGTGGACGGACGTCATCATGTCGATGTGATAATATGAGTGTGTGTCTACGTGTGTGTCTGTTTAGGTGTGGAGCACTCTCCCGGCTGACCCCATACTGCCCGCCGATGACCTGCAGGCCCTCATCGACACGACACGCCACATAGGGATGACCGCACAGCTGCTCTACAAGTGAGTGAGGCATTGATGAACCGGGGGCCGTGGTCGCATCACCCTCTCTCTCTCTCTCTCTCTCTCTCTGTGTGTGTGTGTGTGCGCGTGTGTGTCAGGGGTGAGCGTGACGGCTGGGCGTATGAGACCATGCTGGCCAAGGTGGGCGGGGCGGCCGACCTGCTGCTGGTGGCCAAGGACACCGGCAGCCACACATTCGCCACCCACTGCAGTGGACAGCTCAAGCAGCCTGCCGACCCCACCGGAGTGGCGTGGAGACGGTGCCCCGTGACCTTCTACTCCATCAGTGGCGCATTCGAGGAGCCGGACATCGCCAAGATCACCATGCCAAATGAGCAGCAGCGAATGGGGGTCGCCGGCACAGAGGGGGCGGTGAAGAACCACAAGGGCTTGCCCTGGGCCAAAGTGTCCATCGCTGGCGGCCGCCTGTGGCTGGGGATTGGGGGGGATGCGCCGGCTGGCGACCTGCGCCGCTGCCAACAGTGGGTGGAGAGGGATGAGCTGCCCGACGACAAGACGTACGTGGGCAGCATCAACGAGCAGGGACGGTCCACGTTAGCCGCCAGCCACTGCTTCACGTGTGTCGATTTGGAGATCTACACACTGCAGGTCAGCACAGAGGGGCCAGGGGGAGGAGGGGAAGCACATGGGTGTTTCGACCACGGTGATTGTGCTCTGCTGTGCTTCCTCTCTGTGTTCAGGTGCCGGATGGCTGGCAGTGGCTGGCGGCGGTGGCGGATATCGTGCTCTCACAATCGCCGTGAGTGGTGAGAGCTGTGGAGGGGCGGAGGGGAGTAGCGGGGAGAGTAGCAACTGAGTTCGTTGGGATAGTCGGCAGGCGCGGGAACATCTGCCATCGCTTATGCTCCCATGTGTGTATACAGACAGCCTACGTATTTGTCTAGCTAGTGTGGGCCATTGTCTGCAGAGACAGACAGAATGTGAATGCGTGTTACACTGTGTATCCTTTTATCACCTCGTGTGCTACATACATACATCCATACATACATGGATCTTCATCATACATGAATATCGAATGCATCGTTGTGCTCTCGGCACTTCTACTGTATCTGTCAGTCAGTATCACTCACTGCAGTCAATCACTGGCAAGTATTGTGGCCGGCAGTATCAACCAAACTTGAGAACTCAGTTCCAATACCTGCTATCGACAGCAATACAAGACAAGACATCTCGCCCCAAGCATCATCACGTGCATCATCAAGTATTGATCCTTGGCTTCCGGGACACATCTCAAAAGCAACGTCAGCGGCAGATCTATTGCGAGACGGGAGGCGAAATGGGTCGCAAAACGACCATGCCCATGTCCATGGTATCACCAAGTACAGTCAAGTATCGACCTGCCTAGGCAGCAACGCTTTCAAGCCGGGAAGGGAAGCCTGCCTTTTGGCCGGGCGATGTTGCGAGCTAAATTCGCAGACCTCTCCCACCCAGAAAAAAGGTCAGCAGAGGGTGGGACGCCTACAGACAGCATTTCCTGCTGAATGAATGATGTTACTTTTCTCTCCTTTCCTGCAGGAAGGAAGAGCCCTTTTCTTCTCCGCTGATTGACACGCTCGTGCTGACGCAGAAGGTACGGGCCTGCTTCACAGTAATAAGTGAGCTAAGCACTCAGGCAGACAGCCAGGCAGACACACGAAGGCAGGCAGGAAGACAGACAGGCAGTGGTATGATGCGATGCGATGAGGATTCTATCATTTCTGGCTGCTGATGGCGCCCCTGGGGCACCGCACCGTGATGGACACATCTTTATGGGACTGAGCGCCGCACAGACAGCTCGATTTGATTGGCTGGGGTGATGAAAGACGTGATAGGCAACTAAGAGGGGCTCGATGCGCTGCCCCACTGATCCTATCGAGGCCTGATCAGCCACACGTGTCAGCAACAGAGAGAGAGAGAGACGAGGAGAGCACCAGACAGACAGACAGACAGGGCGGGAGGGAGGGAGGGTGTTGTTTGGGTCGATATGATGATAGCTCAGATAGGGACATCTGAGTGGCCCATGCCTGTCGCACAGCTGACGGGAGGCCGTGAAGCAGCAAATCTGCATAGATAGTAGATTCTGACACATGACCCAAACACCAGAGCAGACAACACCCAGACAGAACAGGACAGACGCAGACAGCAAAGGCAGACAGACAGCCCCTCTCTTGTGCACTGGGGCCATTCCATTCGTGTGCCTCTGCCAACTGAACTGCCATCCGTCTGGTCTGTGTGCGTGTGTGTATGTGTGTGTGTCAGGCCCGCTTTGGCTGACTGGTTGAGCTGAGCTGAGCTGCCCGTCCGTGTGGTGTGTGCGACATGTCCGCGCCGGGCGGCCCTGCCTCCCTCAAGTTCAAGCTTATCTTCGTGGGCGAACAGACCGTCGGCAAGAGCGCACTCATTACAAGGTGGGTGGGGTGAGATGTGACTCAAGAAGCGTCGCCCAACACACACACATGACATGAGCCGACACGTCTTGGCTGCTGTTTGTGATGATTGTCGGCTGGGCTGCAGGTTTGTCTACGACACATTTGAGGTACACAGAGGCGCACAGAGTCGAGCATTGCGAGTCACGCACGGCACGCACTCATAGGTGGTGATTGGATTGTATGTGTTGCCTGTCCGCCTTCCTGCCTGTAGGACAACTACGCGGCCACGGTGGGCATGGATTTGCTGTCCAAGACCATCTACGTCAGCGACAAGCCTGTGCGGCTGCAGCTATGGGACACCGCAGGACAAGAAAGGTCCGCCGCCGCAGAATGATACGTATATACCAAGGCCGCCGCACACACAAATGGTGGGCGTTTCTTACGCAGGTTTAGGGCGTTGATTCCGTCGTACTTTCGCGATGCCTCAGTGGGGGTGGTGTGTTTTGACGTGACCAGCCGGACGTCCTTTAACAAGGTGGACTCCTGGGTGGCGGAGGTGCGCAAGGAGAGGGGGTCCTCGGTGGTGGTGACGGTGTGCGGCAACAAGATCGACCTCGATGACAAGAGGCAGGTCACCGAGGAGGAGGCCACCAACAAAGTGGCCGACCTCACCAGCGACCCCGAGGCGCCCGTCATGTACTTCGAGACGTCTGCCAAGACAGGCGCCGGCGTCAAGGAGATGTTCAAGCACATCGCGGCGAGGTTGGTGAGTGCGGGGGCGGAGGAGCAGGAGCAGCACGGCGAAACGCTCCAGAAGACCGGCGAGGAGATCGCCGGCAAGAAGACGTGCAGCTGCTAGATGGGTGTAGATGGGGGAGGGAGGGGTGGGGGATGGCCTGGCCGATGGAGGTTCTTCCCCTCTCTCTGTTGGCTGACTGGTTTCTCTTGCTGCTGGTTTTGCTGCTGCTGCTGCTGCTGCCTGTGTTTCATTCATGATGGTGTCAACTTGTGTGTGTGTGTGCATGCCAGACATGCAGACACCGATTTGGTATATATGGCAATCAATTGACTGTATAGTAGAGACCGCTTGATAGATCTGATCTCGTGCTGGCTGTCCGTTCACAGCACAGCGCAGCCACCGCCGTCACTCTCACCCACAACACACAACACACCCATGCATGACACCCAGGTTCTCACCCACTGCCCCTCCTTCGCGCCAAGTCAGACAGCTTAGTCAGTGTGGGCCGCACAGGGAACGCCCCTGAGCCACCCTCACTCTCTCCCCTCTCACCGCCCCCACGCACATCGTCCCTCCCAAACGCAGGAAGGGAAGAGGTGGCCTCTGCGGGCCGCATGGCTGGTGAGGGCAGCTGTGAGTCACTCTCGATTTCCTCCATGCCGACCAGGAAGCCATCCTCGTCGGACGGCGAGTCGCGCAGGAGGGTGTTGAGGCTGGCCAGGCAGGGGGCGCTCACGGCCTGCATCCAGGACAAACCATGCAAGGCCACCAGAGACATGTGTGAAGGAAGGGGCTTTGCATATTGACGAGACGAACTTACTCTGTCGGTGGAGGCGTGGACCTCAATGCGACACCGCTGCGGACCGATGAACAGCTGACACCTGCACACGCACACACACACACGTGCGTCAGTCACAATGGCGGGCGGGAGTTTGGTTGCGGTTGTCACCTAAGTTCATGTCCAGGAGGTGTCCAGAGGTAGAGTGCGGCCACGGGCGCCCCGCGAGTGTTGCAGGCAGTGAAGTCCGGCAGAGAGGACACCAGAGTCGCCCTGCACGACAGAAAGGAAAACAGCAAAGAAACGGACACGATCCAGCCAACACCACACCGGCCTCTTCTTCTCTCTCTTAAGCTGTGAGTGAGACACACAGACATGTGTGTTACCCTACCCGATCAGCGCCTGTCCCAGCTTGTTGGAAGGGATGCCACCGCGAGGGAAGAACTGCAGTCAGAAGGTAACAAAAAGAAAAAACGCACTAAATGCACTCTGATGGATCACTGCACTGGTGGCCTTTGTCTGTCTCACTGACCTGGAACTGCAGTCCGTCGATGCCTCCCGCCTTGAACCGAGGGCTCCATATCGCCTGACCCACCGCACAACGCCGCAGCTGCTGCAGTGACACACACGCGCACCACATACGCAGTCATGGCAACCATTGTGATACCTTCTAGTCACCCACCTCGTGGAGTCGGTCGATTCGCCATTCCACCCTCTTGGGGCCCGTCACAGACGAAGCAGCGGGCGATGCCGTCCCCCCTCGGCTCCGGCCCCCTGGCTGCTCCTCTTCACGATCAGCAGGCGGGATGCTCGTCCGTCGATATGGGGGATGGCTGATGGCCCGGCACACCTCGGCGGCCGAATGGGAGCCCTTGGGGTCCTGGGCACCACTCGCATGGCTCGGCTGGGACCTAAGGAGGGGGTGGAATGCGCCGGTGGCCGCCATGGTGTCCCGCTCTGATGTGAGATAGGTTTAGTAATGAAAGAGCGCATCCATGTGTTTGCTTTTTGCTCTGCACCTGTGAGGCGTGGGTTGATGGCGGTGTCGGCCGTGGTGGTTCTGGTCCAACTGTCCTCGTCTGGCCGGTCCTTTGGCCCCCGCGTCTCCACCCTGCTGTCGCCCGCCTTGCTCAGCGCCTGGATCTCCTCACTCCAACGCTCACGCAAATCTGACATAAGAGAAGAGAAGAAACTGCCCAGTCACCCGCCCTCGTTGCGGAAATTCCTGTCATCTGCTTACCATTGACCTCGGCCTGCAGCTGTGACAGCACCGGCTGCAGGTTCTCCTGCTCCGCTTCGGGCTGTGAAGGCTCGTGTGGGGGCTCACGCAGCAGGTCCTTGACGCCCCTGCGCAGGAAGGCGAGCTCCTCACGCACCCACGTCAGATCCACTGGCCTATGGAAAACGCAAAGGCAGCATAGGGGGGAGGGGTGGAGGATTTGCGTGGGTACTTTTGGCCTTCTGTGATGGTCCGCTGGTCTCTGGCATAGTCTCGTTGGTGGCGTATCTGGTCCTGCAGCTCGCGAAGCTCACCACGATACGCATCCTCAACGCCTGCATAAGGCATCCATCCATCCATCCAGCAGCCCTGCAAAGAGGATTCGTGTCTCTACCTTTGATTTTCTCCCTGAGGTGTCTGATTTGGTCGTGCAGCCTCTCCCTCGACTCGTCGCCACCCCCCTTCTCAACTCTGCCTGCAAATCGAACCACAAACAAAAAGCGCCGTCATTTGGTCCGCGTGCCGCCTCCGGCCCGGCATCCCATTTCCTACCCTCCAGCAGCTGCAGCCTCTCCCGCAGCTGGGCCACCTCCCGTGTCTCGCCCGGCGCATCAGCCAGCTGGCGCAGAGCCTTGCCGATCCGCTCGAGAGGAACCGACCCGCCGGACGGGAGAGCCAGCCCATACGGCCCAGCATCGCGGCTGTCGTCCCTCGACCCCTGCTGCATCGTGGAATGAAGGAGCACCGCACGGATAGCTGCATGGGCACATGACATGAAGGGCAAGTAGGTTGACGCCACAAGGTTCCGTCCTTTTTCCTACGGTCTCTCACCTTGGTTCTGTAGGCAGACGTCCGATGTGATTTCGACTGTGGATTCCAGCAGCTGGAGAAAGTGGCACAGCACCTCTGTCAGGCCCTGGCTGGGCTCGTCACCATCGCCGATAACAGCCAACTTGGGCGTGCCGATGCGAGCCTCGGCCTCTGGGGAACGCAGGCAGATCGTATGGACCTGTAGGGTATCTGGTGTGTAGTTGCGTGTTCACCTCACCCTGCCGTAGTTTGGCGATGTTAGTCATGAGTTCGGCCACTCTCCGGCCAGACGGGCCAGATGTGTCACCCTCCTCGCTGCCCTCGCCATGCCTCAGGAGAGCACCCAGCCAATCCTGCACCCAGCCCAGAGCAGCCTTGACAACCTATGAGACCTGGAGCGGCTCGTCCTTTTCTTTTTCCTACCGATGTCTGTGGCTTGTCTTTGCACGAATGGCCCTGCTGTGTTTCGATCTGTCGGACTTGGTGCTGCAGGGTCTGCAGGTGGGAGCGCAGCTCCTCCAGCTGGGCAGAGGTGTCATTGCCCTCGCCCGCATGCCGCCGTGACTCCTCCACATCCTGTACCCCGACAGCAAGGAATGGCAAAATGGTGTGTGTTGGTGGCTTTTCGCGCGTAGCTCACTTGTGCCAGCTTTCTGATGTCACTCGAGAGCACCTTCATGCCCTCACGGACCTCTGCAGAACACCACACACACACAGCAGGACGCATTTGGAAGCCAGCCGTGTGCAGCGTCCCATTCACCCTCATCATCCCGCCCTCCCACCTGCGATGGCCTCCTCGTGTGGAGCCGTGTACTTTGAGAAGTGCTGGCGGTTCTGCGTGCGGAGGGTCGACAACTCATTCAACAGGTCCGATCGGACGCTATCAACCTTCTTCTCAACGCTAGATACGCTCTGCAGGCACATCCACAAAAGAGGAGAACACAATGGCCGCTGCGTCGATTGCAATGATGTCGTCAATGATCTCGTCACTCACCTCGCCCTGCTGCTGGAGAAAGTCCAGCAGCCTCTGGTTATGGGCCTCCAGCTGGGCGATATACTGGTCACTCACCACACTGCCCTCCCCCTCCCTCTCCCCGCCATCATCCCTATCGTCCTCAACACCCATCCCGCCACCATGGCGCCTCATCGCCCTCTCGCCCGCCCTCTCTGCGTCCATCACATTCACATCGCGATCAGCCGTCACGAACACGCCCGGCCCGCTCCTTTGCATGGCTGAAGCCCGCCCTCTGTCGTGGTGGTCGAGAGATGTGTGCAGCGCATGTGGCCTGGGCGCGATGGGGCTTGAGTCGAGAGGTGGTGTGCGGGCGGGTGGGCGAGATGAGGCGTGCAGAGGGGCGGTCTGGGGAGGTGATGGCGGATGCCCAGCTGCTGCAGATGCGCCTACACGAAGGAATACACACATGGAAAGCATTCAAGATGGATGAGAAGAATGCATCATCGGCGCCGTTATTTTGTGGTCGTTTGTGGCTACCTCGTGAGATTGGGGCTGGTCTTGAGCGTGTAATCTCCAGATTGAAGCCCTGGAGCTTCTTTTCGTGCTCAAACTGCCATCAGGCAAATGAATGCATCAGAAGTGCTTCGAGTGCACCACTGGATTCGTTTGTCGTTTTCCCACCTGGAGGAGGCTCAGTTGGTTGGCGAACTTGCGCTGCAGAATCTCCTCTGTCATCGCCCATCAAACCATCTTTCCCTTTCGGCGAGCTTTGGCGAGGATCGAAACGGCCCGTCTTGGCCCCCCCGGCTCTCACTTTTCCTCTCCTCTCCCTCTCTTGGATGGGTCTTGCAAGAGAGGAGGTCCGACACGGACGAAGTCACATGCAGCTGCTAACAGCAAGCCACACGGCCCTGCGGACGATTGGCACGAAGGGAGCGGCACTCGGCCACAAGCTCGGCCACCGAGGCGGCTGGTGCGAGGAGCCAGAAAGAGGGCCAGACAGGGACAGAGGGCCAGACAGACAGAGAGGTGGAGTGTTGCGATGAGGGCAGAGGGTGTCGTCATGTCTTCTGCATGTGACTCTCTCTGCGTGGCATTGCTGACTGACACAGCTGCAGCCATCGATGGCCTGCAGTGCATAGGCAGACATCGGACTGTGGCTTCACGGATGGAGGAATGGACGGATGGATGGATCATCAAGCCACAAATATATATGCTGTCGTGGGGCGACGAAGAAGCGTTCAAACTTGATCTCTCTCAACGCACAGTTCGGATGATGGAGGAGAACGATTCATCGCAGCCTCGTGAGACGGGATGGAGTCGGGACATATCTATGCATCAGATGCACCAGATGGGAGAGACCACATCCGTGACCCAGATGGGAGAGTGGACCAAGGAAGAAGATGGCGACAAATACATGATGACACGTAGCACACGAGGCGATAAAAGACACGCAGCGTGACATGCATTCAGTCACGTTCACTGCAGATATGTCCGCCGATATGTATGCCCACACTAGACAGACGATAGACAAATACATACAGAGGACGGACAGTATGGACACACGCGAGCATAATTATAAGCGATGGCAAAATCTGATGTCCCGCACGTGCCGACCATCCCAACGCACTCACTGGCTACTCTCCCCGCTCCCTCCGCCCCTCGACAGACAGCTCTCACGTCGATTGTGAGAGCATGATGTCCGCGACCGCACTCAGCCACTGCCAGCCATCCGGCACCTGAACACACACAGACAGAAACAGCACAGCACAATCACCACGGGCAAAACACTAATATATGCCCCCGTCCTCTCCCTGGCCCTTCTGTGCTGACCTGCAGCGTGTAGATCTCCAAATCGACACACGTGAAGAAGAGGCTGGCGGCCAGGGTGGCCCGTCCCTGCTCGCTCACCTTGCCCACGTGTGTCTTGTCGTCGGGCAGCTCATCTCTCCACACCCACTGATGGCAGCTGCGGAGGTCGCCAGGCGGCCGCTCATCCTCCCCGTAACCCAGCCACAGCCGGCCGGCAGCGATGGCTACCTTGCCGGCCACGCCCGTGTTGCTGGCCATCACCGCCCCCTCTGTGCCAGCGACTTGCACATGCTGCTCGTCATGTGGCACGGTGATCTTGGTGATGCCGCCCTCGATGAATGCGCCGCTGATGGAGCAGAAGGTCACGGCGCAGCGTACTGCCGCCACTCCAGTGGGGTCGGCGGGCTGCTTGAGCTGTCCCTCGATGTGACAGGCGAAGGTATGGCTGCCGGTGTCCTTGGCCACCAGCAGCAGATCGGCCGCCTCGCCCACCTTGGCCAACATGGTCTCGTGCGCCCAGCCGTCACGCTCACCCCTGACACACACGCACACACGCACGCACACACAAGGGAAATAACACGATTATGCGACCACGGCCCCCAGCTCATCAATGCCTCATCACTTGTAGAGCAGCTGTGCGGTCATCCCTATGTGGCGTGTCGTGTCGATAAGCGCCTGCAGGTCATCGGCGGGGAGGATGGGGTCTGCCGGGAGAGTGCTCCACACCTAAACAGACACACACTCATTTATCACAACCACGTGATGCCATCTACTTTGTCGGTCTGACCTGGTACACCTCGAGTCGCTGGGCTGTGAAATAGTCGCTGGAGGCTAACGTGGCGCATCCCTCCTCGTCGAAGGTCCCCACGTACGTCTTGTCGTCGGGCAGCTCATCTCTCCACAACCACTGATGGCAAAGGCGGAGGTCGCCAGCCGGCCGCCCACGCCTCCCATAGCCCAGCCACAGGCGGCCGCCACCGATGCACACCTTGCCAGCCGTCACTCCATTGTCGGCGTTCAACGTCCCCTCGGTGCCGGCGACCTCCACCCACTGCCAGTGGTGTGGCACGGTGATCCTGGCGATGCCGCCCTCCTCGAATGGCCCACTGACGGAGTAGAAGGTCACGGGGCAGCCGCTGCCCAGCGCTGATGTGGGGTCAGCCGGGGGGATGAGGGGCCCGTCGATGTGGCAGGCGATGGTGTGCTGCTTGTCGTCCTGGATGACGAACAGCAGGCCGCTCACACCCGCCACTCGCTCTACCAGAGTGCCAAACTCTCCACCGTCAGACGAACTCCTGACACACAAAGGCATCCAAATCAACACATGGCATCTCCCTCCCGCGCCCCTCTGTTGTGTGTTGTGACTCACTTGAAGAGGCATTTGATGTGGCTGTGCGATTTGCCGATCGTCGAGAGGTACACCCGCTCCATGAGGCCGTACATGTCACAGGCATACAGCAGCTCGTCGGGTGAACTGCTCGTCGGCAGCGGCGTGGCGGCGTCGGAGGCCAACCGAATGCGACGGACGTAATCCACCACCCTGCACACACCACACACACATGGAGATTTTGTGTGCCGCCTGGCTGCTGCTGTGGTGGGTTACTTGTGGAAGGTGTCTGC